TGATCTGTGTTAAACTTTCATTCTCCTGCCCCCCTGTGTGTGAGGGACAACATGGGAGGGGTGGAGATGGGGGGACTTGGAAAAAGAGATGGGTCCCTGGGAAAGTGCAACAGGTGTCTTAAAATGTCCATTTTATTTTTTCTTCTCTTTGTAAATATCCCTATCTTTGTTTTTACCCAGTGCCATTCTTAGTAGTGTGTAGTAATAAATCTATCTTGCAACTTAAGTTATGCAGCCTGTCTGACTCTTTGTGGAGTACATAGGTATCTTTCTTCCAATTATGTTTATCTCAAAGCCATAAATTTTCATGTTAATTGGGTTTTCGCCCTCCCTTCTCCCTCTCTGGTGGGGGGGGGGGGGGGGGGGGGGGGGGGGGGGGGGGGGGGGGGAAAGGAGGGAACGTCGTGGGCACAGTTCAAACCACGACATTTCTGGTGCATTGGCCGGGAAAGGGAAAATCAGGCTTTAAACCCACGACATACCCAGACCTCACTCTAACAAAGAGCACGGGGTAAATTTGCATTCTGTGACAGATGCTATTGCTGAAGAATAAACTTAAAATGTACAAGMTACACACAGAGAGGCAAGAGCAACAAGCAAAGACCTGTCCTTATATGAATGGTGAAAGGAGAATTGACAGAACAGCCCTGAATATTCCTTGGAGGGGACTGAGTACAGAGATACTGTTTTGCTGCCTTTGTAGTAGTGGAGATACAGCAGAAYGTACTTAGGACCTGTATCTCCATAGGGCCTGACTGAAACTGTTTAAAAACCCCAAACTCCGTGATCTACCTTTGAAATACAAYGGACTACCTCTGCTGATGGTCCTGAATCTTACTGCATTAAGAATGCCCCCATGTCCTGTCACTATATGCTCATGATTCTATACAACTTCAAACTTTTCAAGTGACATTCTTGTCCTAAGGTTTGAAGACTAAAACCCAGGGACATACCAGCAAATGATTCTGTTGCCTTTTCATGCAGGATGACTGAAATCCAAAAATTTCAACTTTCATGGGAAATTTTTTGGGAATAAAATAATTAGTTCCCTTAAATGCCTCATGAAATCCCAGTCTGAATAACAGAGTACTGCCCTGGGTGTTCAACAGTAAGATGCCTTTGATATTGTGACTGCTATGCTGGGCTAACAGTTGGCAGAGGACTAAAGGGGACACCAGGGGACATCGGGGAACACCATCAACAGGGTCAAGCATTTAAATTACAAATGCCAGTTTACCAATTACCTTTATTTAGTGTGAAGCAAGATAACCATTTTATGCACAGCATAGAAGGAGAATGAAGAGTATCRAGTCAACTCACCTGCCACCTGTCCAGCTTGAGAAAGGATCAAATGTAAAAASAATTAACAGAAAACCCCCAAAAACCTAAGAACTTATCCAGCCCTTCATAAACATATAAAATGGAAAGAAACTGTATTAAAACTGTACTAAATCAATAAGGACCATAAAACTAAAAGTGGCACATGATAATTTACCAAATAGATGCTTGTCAAAAAGAATAGACTATTTTTTAAATTTAATTCTTTATTGAAATCAGGGTCCCTGATAGATACCTAAAGATGTAGTTTACCTTGGCACTGCAAACTCCCTCATCTTCATCATCTCTCTGATTCTCAAACACCATTAAGAGATTAACTGAGACTTAAATCAGTTTAATTTTCTGCAGTGTTTTGTGTACACTGCAGAAAAAACTTGCTTTAATAAAGATTTAGCTGAAAGGCTTCAACTTCAAACTGTCAACCCCATTGCATACTCCTTCAAAAATAGCAAGTTAATTATGCTCATCCCCACAGACTCATGTGACCTCTTTTATCTGTATCCTGTTTTCCACCCGCACAGGAGCAGGTCACGGCTCTGTTGTGCAGCTACTGCAAAAYTTTTCAAGCCTCCAGAAACACCATCCAGTTTCATTTCACTCTCTATGTTTTTTGCTTCATGCTCTGTGTTGGGTGTGAGCATGTGAACATGGGGTAGTTCTGTGAAATAGCCTTCTGGTTACTTAAAATGACCACTTTTCAATCTAGTCCACCATTTTATGGTTTCACCATCCCTATTAATTGGCTGGCATAAACATATCCAAATGGTTTCCCAAGCCATCTTTCAGAATTTGGATTTGCCTTCATATCTACCCTAACCAAGCCAAGCCTTAGAAGGTTCTCAGCTTCTATGCCCTGCAATGGAAAAAACAGTGTTTTCTTTGTATTAATGTTATTAATTGCTTAACTTGGGCAACTACAACACTCAAGACCTTTGGCCTCATTCTACACAGCATTTTATGCAGTAGTAGAGTTTATGATTGTGTTTGTGACAGCTGAACACAATACCTTTTTCTTAGCCAAATTTGAAACAAGGGCCAGTGTACTGTCCTGTGACAATGCCTGGAGGATGACTTTTACTTCACACATTAATTAGAGCATCTTCCATCAATGTTAAAGACATGGATTTTAATTTTATGCACCTGAGCCTTTCCTCAAATTGGTATCACTGATACTTCCCAAGAGCCTTTGYCTCTTGTGCCAAAACCAGTCTGGTCAGCCATCTCAGACTGAGGCCTTCCCAGGGTACTTTCCAGCAACCAATTTGCCAGGGGGAGCCTGTACACACAGAATTTGGTCCAGGCTACTTCAGCCATGCTTCCACACCGGTTCTATCAGGTTAACATGAAGGCAAGTGCATGACCTTCAGCTCACATTCAGTTGGCAAGTTTTAGCACACTCTTTTTGTTGGAATTATTCCACTGTGATGTCACATGATAAATGATTGACGATCTTTTCTTTCTCCCCTCCCACACCAGGTTTTTCCAGGCTAAGCGTTTCTGCAAGGCAGAACTACCCACGCCTTATTGTGCAATAAAAACAAAACTGCTTGAAAAACTTCCCTTTGTATTGCCCACATGTAAAGTGTAAGCCAGTAATAGCTGCTGGATTAAAGATCTTTTTGATGAACAACCTGCAGGCTCTGTGCACGAACACAGGGTATTTTGGCCAAGCATGCAAGGAGATGAAGAGAAGGGGAATGTCAAAGCCTAAGCAAAGACACAAGGGGAAGAAGTGAAGCCCCATATAAACCAGGAGGGAGGGGGAGAAAATAAATAAAAAGCATTATTCTATCAGAATCACTCATACATTTCCCCCACAAAATCAGCCATATTGGTGGACAGGAAATAAAAAGTGAAAGGTGAAAGATCTCTGAATATATTCGGTAGYCCTAAGAATCATATACTGGATTTACAGCACGTACATTTACAGCACGTACCTTTTTTCTTTTTAGCTATCCAGCTAAAAACAGAGGGGGTGTGGTTTCTGTGTTGGTGGATGGAACAAATTTACTTTAACTCCATACTTCTAATTATGTTCTGTTACAAATTTCAGTGCGGGGCTAAATTTGATAAACACAGCAATGTGATTTTTGAATTCATTATTTTTTACAACCAGCAGAATTGTGCTCACATCTTGCTTTGAAATTACTATAGTCTGTGACTATAAGGCTCAGATAACACAAAATATCACACTTTTACTTACGCAAAACTATCGAGAATAAGTGTTTTGAGGCAAAATATATTTTTGTCATTTATTGTATGTTTGTATATCTCCTAACATAATGAGGCTTGTAATTACTTGGCACAATTACACACCACCTCCATAAAAAATTAAATAACAGTAATGTTGCATGGCCTAGGTTTGACCCTGGCCTCAAAGAATCCGGGCAAGGATGTAAAAAACACCAACATGTGTAACATTAACATGACTTTCTGAGCCTACACAAAAGACAGCACTTCCTTTCTGCCATCAAATGAGTGGCAGATACTGGTTTTCAGCTGGCCAAAGCTGGCCACTTACATCTAATTTGTAAAGAGAATGGGAAAGCCCAGCAAAAATACCTGTAGGTTACCTGAAGCTTTTCAGGATTCGTACATAAATAAGAAAAGATTAAAGTGCRTACTTTTTACCCGTAAATTATACAGCATATGGAATGAACTCATTCACCTCACAGCTTATTTGCATACARAACATGTTTTTGGCTTTCAAACAACCCCTAATAAAGGTTTTCAGCATCCTCTTTTCAGAAGCCCGGCCCCCTCGCAGCATGGAATCAATACCAAAGGCCCACCCACATCTGGTGTATCAGCTCCTCCAGCATAAAAACAACCACAACCTGCAACAGTCTGCAGATGGTACCAAAACCCAGTCCAGTGCAGCATTAACTGCAACTAGYAAATAAATCAGGTAACTAGTAAATAAWTCAGGTAACTAGTAAATAAACCAATAAAAAGAAAAAAGTTTTCTCTACACTGGATGTACGATTCAAAGCCCAAAGCCCAGTTGGTTTAAGAACCCTCACTATGCAGATAAGAAACACTTTCCTGTAAGAGACAGAATGTATTTAAAAAAAAGTCCAGAATGGCTTGAAAACACCCACTTCCTTGATGATTAAATAAATCTTATTTACTTACTGTTTACCACAATTTAATTAAAAAGAAAAAAAAAAAAAAAACACTTGAGGCAGCTATGGATTGGATTTAAAAG